TCGGAGTAAAATAAATGAACCAGAAGTTCAGTAAAAAAGGAGACTGATGAACTCTAAAATTCTCCTAAAGAGAAATAAAATTAGAGAATAAAATCAAAAGAATTCCAGAAGAATCAACAAAAGAAAATGTCTTTGGATTTATGATCATTACACCTGAAGATGTAATGTCCTTTGAGATCGTATGGGTCTTTACTCAAAAACAATGAGAAAAACAAAAGTCACAAAATATAAAGCTCGGTTTGTGGCACAAATTTTTTTCTCAAATACCATTAAGAGATGTTCCTTGGTTATGAATATAATCACATGCAATAATGTATTGATAAAAATCTTAGAAGGATCAGGATGCCTACAGAATCTGAAAAAATTATTTGGTCAAGTTACAATGGTTAAAAGAAGAGTTTGAAATAAGAGAGCATGATCAACTCTAACCATGGACCAGAAGTCTAGTAACCTGAGAAATTATATGAGTTTCATTAAAGGTTTACTTATAAAGATTCCCCAAAAGAGTGTATATAACTGGAATGCATCTCCTGAAGATGATGCTTCTAGGAGGAGAATTGTAATGATATGAGAGGCTGCACTCTTTTTCCCTTATTATGGTTTTTATCCCATTGAGTTTTTTCATGACGGGGTTTTTAACGAGACAGCCGATGAAAACACAAAAGATATACATTTAAAGAGCAATGTTTCCAGAAGAAGTATAATGATGCGCATGTATGCAAATTTTTTTTCTTTGCTATGGTTTTTATCCCATTGGATTTTTCCATAACAAGGTTTTTACTAAAGCATCAAAAAACACGCAAGAAGATATGTATCTAAAAAAGGAATATATAATTCCAAAAAGATGGTTTATTATATTGATGAGATGATCAAGACGAACCAACGATCTATAAAGAGAACAAGATTTATTTTTTTCAGGAAAGAGATTACGTCACTGTACTTTTTTTTTTCTTTTCATGATTTTTATCCTGTTGGACTTTTCCATGATAAGGTTTTTAACGAAACAGTATCTAATACGTTAATAGAGTAATGGATAATCGAGAGTGTTAAAAAAATAGTAATTATCTATTTAACATATAAACAATATTTTATGTCTTATGTCGATTTAATTACCGACTTCCTTGATGTATATATATATATGTGATCTAGCTTATGTAAAAGAAGTAATATCATTTCTCCACTCTCGTCTCTCCCTCTCCTCTTTCTCATCTATCATACAATATAATATATACATATATACAAACACATATATATATATATAAATATATATATCTCATCTTATTTTATTATAGTTTATTATAGCTAAATCTTTTTTCAAAGTTTTATTTATTATTCTTCTTTTTCCATCTTTTTATGCAATATGATCGAGATTTGACAAGATATTAGAAACAAAAACGGAAAAGACAATGAAATCTATTTCCTTTTCTCATAAACTTCATTTGACTACTCCCAAAGCAATATGACTTTTTGGGAACTCAAAAGAATTGAATGATGATGCCTAAGACTAAAACTTAAGCTTAGTAACAAATTTTAAGTCAAAAGAGACAACAACATCGGATCCTATATATTAGGAAGAATGTAAAGTTCTGCTGATCTTTTTATCGCGCAGCTAAGGAAAAATGCACTGATAAGTTACTGTTTATGGGTAAACTTTCAGTTCCCACGAAAACAATGGCAGAAGAACAAATCTAGCCTCCTGTTTTATTTGACAACTCAGAAAGAACAAAAATTTATGTTTGTCTTGAGCCATGTAAATATTTTAAGATGACTTGGTGACTTCATGTATAGCATTCACAAGGTATCCCACATTCTCTGTCGTAACACCAGCCATACTGCAACCAAACATCATCAAGAGCCTCAATGATTTTTGCTAACACTTGAAAATGCATCAAAATCAAGAAAATGGACCAAGTTTAGTACCTGATACGGCCATTTCGGGTCATATAGATGTGATATTCGCTTGTTAAGCGGTCAACCTGTTCTGGTGTTAGCCCACTATAGCAGAACATTCCAATCTGTTTCCCCATATAGATAGATATATGATTATGTAACTGTGTGAATCATATGAGAGAAGTGACATATTCATCAAAGAAATAAAGAAAACTTTTTGTAAATTACCTGCTTGGTTACGTGCTCTCATGATAGAGGCGATCCTAACTTCTTAAGGCTTTCTCTTAAAGTAGTTCTCATGCCAATTATCCGATCAGCCATAATCTGTTCCGTTATAGATTTTACACACAGATTATCAGATTCTAATTGTATAGTTGGATTATCAAAAACAAAAGAGTGAACAATGGGTTACAATGTGTTTCATAAGACAAGAGTCTCCGTACACATATTAATTGCAAGCCGAAGGAAAATATAGCAAGGTGATAACTATATGGTTACCTTAACTTCCTTTAGCCACAGACTCTTTAACTTTGGGTCTCCAAGAATGGTTGAGACTATTTGAGCTCCATGTAAAAAAGGTGGGTTGCTGTACATTGGTCTAGCTAGTTGCAGCAACTGACTTTTCACAGTCACAGCTTGTTTTTCATCTTCACAAAGCACGCTGCAGCAGAAGACAAAGTAATATAAGCTCACATGTAGTTCTAAGTTTATCACTAAATGAAAGCCTGTATGGGAATGCTTAATGACATGTTTGAATATCCACATGTGTTATCTCATATAAGTTGATGACTCATATTCAACATAAGGAATTTAGTTTCCTAAGAAATTTCTGAGAAAATAAATACCTGCGTAGAGTCCCATGTTTTTTTGCATAGGACTGAGAAATTCCAATATGATGACCATCCTCGAGAAAGATCCTGATGGACTTGGCATCTCTCGCTGGATCCCCACTAGCAAAACCTTGATAGGCCATATCAAAGAAAGCAAAATGATTTTTGGCCTGAAATAAGAACTCGCTGTTAGTGTGCGGTGGTCAGATCAGGGAGACAAAAAGTGAATGATCTACAGATAACTAATAAAGTATCGATGAGTTATCACCTTGAATAGCTGTGATATCTCTCTCCATTGTTCATCTGTAGGGTCTTATGAGCACAAGCATGAAGGAGGAAGAACGAGCCTTCCGGAGCATTCTATGAGAAAAGGTGATATGAGTCATCAACTTATAAGGAGTCTACAAAATTTAAGAAGTCTCTTCCCGGTAGACCGGCAACAACTGCAACATGGATCTAAAGAACGCAGCTTCTAAAACATATCTGTCCGACCATATCTGTCTCAACATCTAAGTGTTGAATCCCGCGATCAATTAATGTACTAATCCACTCTCTAAATCGATCGCCATAAGTGTTGTATTCGTCATACTTTATCTTGAACTTTTGCATTCGTGATTTTTCATTGAACTCGAGAAAGTTGTCCATGAAGCTCCGGAAGATTTCGTCAGGGTAGTTTGGGAAAGCATTGACCTTTAAGTCAAGTACAGGAACACTAAGCCAGAGAAACTCCATCTCTTCGATAAGACGCTTGTCTTGACGGAATCTTTGGTCTGAAGGTATGAGAGTATATGAGTTAGCAGAAATTCCGGCAAGTCGCTGATTTTATCGCAAATCCCTTAGGTTTGACAAAAGCAAAAGTTTCAGAATTTGATCCCAAAATCTAGGTCACAAGTCGATTAAAGTCAAAAACATAAACTTATTATATTTTCCGGGGGATTATCGCCGGAGATCTAGGTTGAAGAGGACCAAAGCGTAGACTGAGATTTAGGAAAAATGCTAATTTTATGAAACTAATAGAAGAATCTCTTCAATGAAAGCGATTTTGATTCCATCTTGATCTATCATTTCGGAAAGAAAGAAAATAAAAAAAAAAATTTGTTTTGTCTCTTTTTTCCGTAACATAATCTTAAATTTTGCAATTTAACTGCTTTTATTTCCGTAACATACAAGTTGATCTCAAGATAACGGCAAATAATCACAGAAAAAACTAGTTGCTTTGATTCGCCGAAGTTATCATTGGGTTCACGGGGAAGAGCGGTGAGGGGCATTAGACCATCCACAACACGGAATGGACGGGGTTGATCCGTGGGGTCTAATACTATTATTTTAAATTTTTTAATCGATTAGGTCCAAAAACTCGATGATACTATCTCTTTGGGATGAGCCTGATGAGACCGTATCGCCGAGGTTTACCGGCCTACGTGGCAAGCACTGATTGGCTGAAGTTTGGGGAAAATTTTTTAGGGTCGGGGTCGAACATTTGGGGTTATTTCGCATTCTCTGTTTATCAAAAAAAAAAACTTCCACGGCGATTTTGCAATAATCGCGACTTCGAATCCAATCTTCATCTCCGATCGAATCTCCGGTGAATCGTCGCTTCCCCTCTGGTCGATCAGTATGGTACGTCGTTTCCCTCCTTTAGAAGTCTTTTGATTGAGTTTTGGTCGGAAATTAGAGTTTTCAAAATTGGGGGAAAATTAAGGTTCTTCGGGAAGTTTTTTTTGGGGGCTTTTGGTGTTGATTATGAGTTGTTTGCGATTCATTGTTCTTATATTCAATCGGTTTCCGGATTTCGCGTATTAGGGTTTTAAAATTTGATGTTTTGAAATTAGGGTTTTCGAAATTGTTTATAAATTTTGGGGCTTTCATTTGGGATTGCAATTGGCGTCTAATTCGCTTGGGGCTTTTATAAATTTGGGTTCGCTTGTGTGAGTTAATCGCTTGTGTGAGTTAATCGCTTGGGTGAGTTAATCGCTTGTGTGAGTTAATCGATTTGTTGATCGCTTGTGTGAATCGCTTGTGTGAGTTGAAATGGTTCATTGTGTGTTTTCAAGTATTGAATGTTTAGGTCATATCGAATGTTTAGGTTGAAATGGTTCATTGTGTGTTTAGGAGTATCGAATGTTTAGGGACATCGTATTGTAATCGTGTTCTGGTTATATCGAATGATTAGGTTTAAGTAGTTACTTGAGTTTAGGTTTGTTTTCAAGTTTTGTTTTTCTCATTTGGTTCGGATATTTATGTAACTCAAATGATCAAATCGTTTATTGTGGACAGAGTATGCCAAGTTCAGAGGATGTCCCGTACTGGGCGAGAGCCATAACGAAGCAGAAAAAAAAGATTGAGAGGGTTAAGAGCCCGCTCTACAAGGCAGGCCCTGTAGATGGAAAGATGTTTTATTGGGAGGGTGAGCTGTTCGGACCAACAGGATCGCCTTACGAGAACGGAGTCTTCAAAATCAGCATGGACTTCCCTCCGGAATACCTGTTCAAGCCACCAAAGGTATGATGCTTTAAACGGTTCAGGGTTTTGTAGTAATCGCTTGCTGAATATTTATTTTCTGCAGGTCTTCTTCAGAACCAAAATCTGTCATCCCAATGTAGGAGATCGTGGTCATATCTTCCTAAGGATGGTGACAACAGACTACTTCTCGCATATTCACACCATCCATAAGATGTTCATTAATCTTCATGAGATGCTGACAAACCCCGAAATAGGTGAGGGAGACTACTTTGATGAAGCCAAAGCGAAGCTATACAAAGAAGACAAGGCGGGTTTCGATGAAAAAGCACGAAAATGTACTCTAGAGCACGCTACGGCTTAGAAAAAAATACCCTCTACCTTTGGCATAAATTTGGACGTCTAGAAAATTACTAGTTTTATTTTCACTTTTGTTTTCTCAATTTAAAAACTCTTTTCATTTTATTTTATTCAAATGTTTAAAATAGTTAAAAAAAAAATTATTATTTTATTCTGTTGAACCCAAAATGGGTATCAAGGTTGGACACCCATTTTTCACCTCAGATTCACCCAATATTCTTCCACATTCTCTCTCCTCCAAAAATTATTAAAAAATGCTGATGAACCCCATCATAGGGTTCAAGATTATGGATGGTCTTAGGAATTGATAGCACCGGTCCGCGGGATCGGAGTGCCACAATTTTGATTAGTGATTGCTTTTGTGTTAGTTTTTGTTACAAGAAAGTGAATAAACACACATTTATTGGACAATATTTTTCAAAAACTCTCAATTATGATAAATTTATTTTATACAGTTTAAGTCTTTAAAATGTAAACGAGGGTGAGCTGAGAGGTCACTTTAGAGCATATTAGATCACCTGGTTTGTAAGTTCCAAATCTGTGATTGATTTGTTTGAAAGTGATTGAGTTTGAAACTTTGATTGGAATCAATTAGGTCGATTATTTGTTGACACTTACACAAAAAGATCTTTAGAGGCTGAGAGTTCTCACGCAGAGAAACCACACTATCATATCAATGTTCCTTACCATGGTCAGATCATCGCGAACATGACAGCATGAGACAAAGCTTCTCCATGATGGAAGAATTTTAAGACAAGTCAGAGAAACAACAAACTTGGTACGTACTTCTTCGAGTTTTAAGGATACCAATGTCTTGCTCTTAATTACAAACATACATACATAGGGATTCGGAGAGTAGTTTTAACGTACACAAAAGCCTTACGCATTGCCAAAACAAAGAGATCTCTATCCTGGTCTCAATAAACGAAAACTTGACAGCTGCGAGAACGCTTTGTGAATGTAAGAATACTCTTGTAGATATCCTTGCAGATATCTAGCTCTTGGATGGTCATAGGAGAATCTGTGAAACGCACAGTAAATTTCTTGAGGACTGCTGAATTCTTAAGAAAGTAATTCACTAGTTTAATTCCAGTTTCTTCCCTCATGATCAGTTGTTTAATCTCGACAGATTCAAGAGTCAATGACAAACACTGAGGCACATAGCTAAGTTCACTTTGCTCTGGCTGCGCCGAAACAGCAAAGTCCTGAAAACAAAACAAAAACAAAAAATGGACAGAACAAGCATAGTTAAACAAAAATTCAACAATGTTCTTACTCAGCCAAATCATAGCCTCAAAACAGACTCTTACCAAGATCAGGTTTTTCAGGTTTGGGCAGCACTCAAGAAAGGCTGGCAAGAATTGTAACAGAGAGCTAGAAAGTGCAGCGTCCAAACGGTATAAGTTAGGGAATTTGGGGATTGGTCCCAATTTAGAATACACATAGAGGACCTACAAGAAGAGATAAATAAATACATCACTCATAGAGAATGAAAAGACAGTTTCTTGTTATTATATGCATCAAAGAGTATATATATAATTATATATACCTCAAGAGTAGGCTGAGAGATGATCATATGTCTTACTATAGATATCCCGGTGAGAAAATCACGGATAGTATCTCTCTTCCTTAGATCCTCAGGTTCCAAAGGACTGCCTCCAAAATTTACCACAAATTCAGTATCAATATCGATCATGGATAAAGAATTCAGGTTCTTGATTACAATCAGATCAGATTGGTTATCTTTAAAACTCAGATACTCGAGTCTTGGCGCATCAATCTCAACCGAATATTCTTTACTAAACAGAAGATACTTAAACGTGAGACGAAATCTTTTAAGAGTCTGAGACCTCACGCGCAGAAATCGCAGAACGTCACTTAATTCAGTACGCCTGATTACTGTAAGATCTACAAGAACAGGACAGCCTGAGATGAGCTTCTCTATGATCAAAGGCTCATCATCATACACAATGTCTTCAAAATGCATGATCTTGAGACAAGGTAGAGAAACCACAAACCCGGGGTCCACGATTCCTATGGTTACGAGCTTTAAAGAGACCAAAGTGTTGCTCTTGTAAAAGTTATGAGGCATATCAGGACCAATACCAGTCTCAACATCTAAATGTTGAACTCCGCGATCAATTGCTGTAGCAATCCACACCAGTTGTTCGTCTTCAAATTTTTTGTACTCTATCTTGAACTTTTGCATCCTTGATTCTTGGTTTAAATTCAGAAATTTGTCGATGAAGCTCTCGAGGCCTTTGCCACGACTAGGGAAATCCTTGACCTTTAAGTCAAGTCCAGGAACACTAAGCCAGAGAAACTCCCATCTCTTCGACAAAACGCTTGTCTTAACGGAATCTTTGGTCGGAAGGTTTAAGAGAATCTGAGTTAGCAGAATATCCGGCAATTCGCTGATTCTATCGCAACCCATCTCGAGAAAACCAAACCCTAAAGCTTCAAAAACAATCATATATGCAAAAAAGTTTCAAAATTGATTTCCAAAATCTACCTTGGAAGTCGATTTAAGTCACATACATAGACGTACACACGAGAGAGAAATCTGGGTGTGAAGAACTCACCGTAGATTTGATTCGCCTATGGGTTATTGTTGAAGTTATCGCCTAAGGAGGAGCAAAGCTTCAAAATTTATTCCAAAATCAAATACATAAAACATGCAACCGAAATGTGAGTGTGAAGAACTCACCGTCGATTTGATTCGCCGCAAGTTATCACTTGAGTAGGACTGGAAAATTAGGGAAGAAAAAATGCAACTTTTCTGAAAATAAATCAAACGGATAGGGAATCGACACAGTTTATCCGAAAGAAGCGATTTTGTTGTTCATTTTTATTAGCCTCTCGTAATTATAGATGAACATAAAGATCAATTTTTATAGCGTTATGAATACGAAGAGACAAGTAAAAAAAAAAAATGAATGCGAAGAGACGAGTGTATGAGTAGTCACAACTCTTCCTAACTAAAATCATATATCCCATATACTAAAGATTACAAGATTATAGACCAGAATATTATATACTTTTTGGGAGTTACATCTTGCTTGTTTAGCCATAATCCAGTCATATGCTCATAAAATTAAACATACAAACTTTTTGATATTTTGAGAATATCAGCTGGGAAGAGCCGCTTACAGCTTGGAATGTTTTGCTGTGAAAGGCTTTGTTGAAGAGTGCCATAAATTCAACGTGAGATCACCACAGTAAGTGCCTATGCAACTGCTTCCATTGGTGTTTCAAGCTCAAGATCCTGTAATAATCGTGCAAAGGCCAACCAATTCTAGCTTGATGATTTGATGATGTAAAATTGTAGCAAGTCCCTCTGACCAGAACTGCTAATAATGTGCAAACAACTCTTCATCAAGCAATTTGGAGACTGAACATTCCTCCAAAACTTACACATTTTTGGTGGAGGCCATACTTCATGATGTATTTCTTGTCCAGGCTTTGGTGGTGTAGTTAGCAAACTTAGCAACCAATTTGGATTGTTCAGCTTAATCACAGCGATCCAACTCTTACTTTGTCAACTTAGAGACATATTTCAGTTTACATTGTTCTGCTTAATCTTTCTTAACGTAGTTTTTATAAATTGATTGCTTTTCATCATCAATCATCATCACTTCTTACAAGAAAGTGAAGAAATTAACTCAATTTACAGTTAATATTATCAACACCAATATCTGAAAAATGCTAAGGCCGACTTGCAATATTTCATAACAAAAGATTTCCTACATTGATCTTTCGAGAAACACTGTCAATGAATGATGACTTCACAGCTTCTAAAACATACAAGTTATCAAACTTGGGAATCTATCCCAATTCGTAAATACCAATAGAGAACCTACAAGAAGAGAGAGAAAAAAAAAATGAAACATCATGGAGAATCAAAAGTACATTTCTTGATACATATATGCATCAAATACAAATGTAAATATATATACCTCAAGAGTAGGCTGAGAGATGATCATATGTCTTACACTCGATATACCGATTAGAAAATCACGGATAGTATCTCTCTTGCTTAAATCCACCAAACTTGACATTAATTTCGGAGGCATGTAGTCTCTGTTAAAAGGAACCATATCTGTCTCACCATCTAAATGTTGAATCCCGCGATCAATTAATGTACTAATCTACTCTCTGAATCGATCGCCATAGGTGTTGTATTCGTCAAACTTTATCTTGAACGTTTGCATTCGTGATTTTTTATTGAACTCGAGAAAATTGTCCATGAAGTTCGGGAAGATTTCGTCAGGGAAGTTTGGGAAAGCATTGACCTTTAAGTCAATATTTTCCAAAAACTCTCATTTATGATAATTTTATTCATACAATTAAAGTCGTTAAAATGTAAAGGATGGTGAGTTGAGAGGTCAATTAAGAGGTTATTAACTCACCTGGTTTTGCAAGTTCCAAATATGTGATTGATTTGTCTGAAAGTGATTGCGTTTGAAACTTTGATTGGAATCCACTAGGTCGATTCTTTGTTTGACACTTTAAACAAAAAGATCTTCAAAGGCTGAGAGTTCTCACGCAGAGACAATACACTATCATATCAATGTTCCTTACCATGGTCAGATCATCGCGAACATGACAGCATGAGACAAGCTTCTCCATGATGGAAGAATCTTAAGACAAGTCAGAGAAACAACAAACTTGGTATGTTTTGGGTTTAAGGATACCAATGACTTGCTCTTAATTACAAACGTCCAGAGGCATGGAATATCAGATTTAAAGCACCATAAAGCCACAGTTATCTAGATGTGGAAAATCAGATTAATACATGCGAATATGCGATGATCCAAAAGCCCTTACTGCATTTTCCAAAACAAAAAGATCTCTACTCTGAAGTTATCTTAATAAATGAAAACTTGACATCTGGGAGAAAGCTTTGTGGACGTAAGAAAACTCTTGAAGATATCTAGCTCTTGGATGGTCATAGGATAGATTATGAAACTCACTTTAAGTTTCTTGAGGACTGCTGAGTTCTCAAGAAAGTAATTCACTAGTTTAATCACAGTTTCTTCCTTAATCCTGATCAGTTGTGTAATCTCAACAGATTCAAGACTCAATGACAAACACTGAGGCACATAGCTAAGTTCACTTTCCTCAGGCTGCGCCGAAACAGAAAAGTCCTGCAAACAAAAAAAGAAAAAGAAAAAAAAGAACAAGCAGAGTTAAAAATAAAATTCCAAAATGTTCTTACTCAGCCAAATCATAGTCTCAAAACAGATTCTTACTAAGATAAGTTTTTTCAGATTTGGGCAGCTCTCAAGAAAGGCTGGCAAGAATTGTAACATAGAGCTAGAGAACCTAGGGTCCAAACGGTATAAGTTAAGGAATTTGGGGATCCTCCAAATTTAGAATATAGGTAGAGGACCTACAAGAGTAGATAAATGGATACATCAATCATTGAGAATTAAAGAAAGATTTATTATTAATATATGCATCAAAGAGTATATATATACCTTAAGAGTACACTCGCATCAAACCGAAATGTGAGTGTGAAGAACTCACCGTCGATTTGATTCGCCGCCGCAAGTAATCACGACTGAAAAATTAGGGAAGAAAAAATGCAACTTTTCTGAAATAAATCAAACGGATAGGGAATCGACACTGTTTACACAAAAGAAGGGATTTTTTTTGTTGTCCATTTTTTATTGAGGAAAATTAGCCTCTCGTAATTATAAATGAACATAAGATCAATTTTTATAAGGAGGATGATGTAATATGAGTGTGAAGAACTAACCGTCGATCTTGATTTTTTTAAAACCCCATAACTTTTTTTTTCCAATATACTTCCCGTAGAACATCTACGAATTAAATAAATAACCAAAACTGATGGAATTTGCAAAAATGACTATGAGCTCACGAAAAACTTAAAACACTATTTTGATGGTTATCAGTAAATACCATTTTGTCTTTCTTAATATCTGTCATATGAATCTGTTTTGTGGCTAAAATCATTCCATAGGATGCCTAAAATTTTCGTAGGTATAAAAAAAAATATGCCCAAATTTACATTAGGTGAATCTCATCCACACAATACATTCCAAATATAACTTCAAATATAAATTATAATAACGAGTTACATATATTGTTATGGATTAACAATTATTATATTATATATAAATATATAAATTTATATATAATATTATGTTTTACACGGCAAAAATAATGTTAGATTGATAATAATAGTGAGTTATATAGATGATTAAAGATGTTATTAATATATTTAACACGTTACATTTTAAACTAACGTCTAATATTATAATTTACTCGGTAAATAATATGTTAGACTGATAACAATAATGACTTATATAGATGATTAAATATGTTATTGATATATTTAGCATGTTACATATAAATTAACGTCTAACATTATAATTTACTAGGTAAAAAATATGTTAGATTGATAACAATAATAAACTATATAGATTGTTAAAGGTGTTACTTTTGTAGTTAGTATGCTACAAATATATATAACATTATATATAATATGTTAGCAGTCTAACAATAAATTTATAAGAGTAATTCAGCTAGATACACACTAACTCTGTTGGTTACAATAAGACAGGATCATCTGTTGTTATGACATTTTGAATACGGAGTTGGTTTTTCTCATAAAAAGTCAAAAAAGGAATTTTGATCAACAATGGAGAAGTCAGGGATGATTATATCGGTGTGAAATCAAACCAATGTTAATTTTTGATTGGAAGTTTATATCAGAGTTGGAATTTTCACAAGCTTTAATCATATCTAGTAAATTTTAGATCTGGTTTTTCAGTAAACAGATCTGGTGATGGTGATTTGATGATTTTATATTATTGGGAAATATTCTTTTTGAGGAGACGATCTAGAATAAGATGAAGGTGAAAAAAATAAATAGTAGAAACATAAGAAAATAAAGAGATGAAAGAGAGAGAAAAGAGAAAGGAAAAAGAATAAAGAGAGTAAAGAGAAAAAGAGATGATAGATACATGTAAATAGAGTCCTTAGGTTTGTAGGGCTGTAGGGATTTTCTTGTATTTAAAAAAATGCTACAGTGTCATCTACAGGATATGGTTATTTTTGCAAATACGAGTGTTAGTTTGGTTATTCATTACAATTATTTCCCATAATATCAATTAAATTGTTATTTTTTTCCAAAATAAATAAACAAAGGTTTGTAAACAAGTAAATTACATAGGTTTGGGAATTAAGTCTTGTTTGTTTAGCCAGGACATTTTCAATAGTGTTTGCTTTCCTGTATATATGTGTTGAATGTTGATCCTTGATTAAATCCTGCAAAATAGAAAGTAGAAATTAACGAGAGGAAGAAGAAGAAATGAAGAAGAAAAAGTCATGTCTCGTGAATGAAAGAATCAGAGAAGAACAAGGAAAGTCAACTCTGGAGAAATGAATTGGGCTTCTTGTTTAGAGTAATAGGCCTGTGAATTGTGTGTGTTGAAATGATTAAGCTTAAGTTAGAGCAGTTAGAGTTGCTATAATAGTCAAATAGTAGTTGTTAAGGTCTTAAGTAGCTAGAGTCTAAGTGAGTGTAGTGTGGCTTGTGTGTGACAGCCTAGATATAAGACTTAAGGTGTATGAATGATGAAAGTTAGGAAGTAGTAGTTAGAGAAATCTGCTATATATGTGTGTTGTGCTTTGTAAGAAAAATATCGATTGATCAAATAACAAAATGTAGTTTTTAAATGTTTATCTCTCTAAGCTTCTTCCTGTTTTCACTAAGAACAAACAAACAAACAATATTAATGAGTGAAACAGAGCAAGAGAACTAGAGAGAAAGAGAGTTAGAGAAGAAGAGGAAACAAAAGAGAGTGAGAGAAGAAGGAGA